CTGTGGTTATGTGAGAATAGAAGTGGCATGTGTTGGCTACAAGAAAAATACTATATTTAACTGAAAAAAAAGCACTACACATCACACTGGATGCACTATCCCCACCATTAAACATGGCGTCAGGAGGAATGATAGGATGTTTTTCTCTAGCTGGTACAGGGAAGCTGCTCCAACTTGATGAAAAGATTGGTGGCGATAAATACAGAGCAAAACTAAAAGAAAACCTAAGACTGATGTGAAGATCCATCCTCAATCAGAAATGGTGGAAATCAAAGCATACTCATTGAATTCCAGGCCAATTTTGCTTTAATAACATTCATGAGAACTATGTACCTCTGCTGAAAGATTTGCTTATATGTTTTTAAATGTTTTTATTTTACATATCCCTGTTTAGGCCTTTGAGGCATAGCATACACAGATGTGAATGCCTTTATGTGCTGAGGAAGTATAACTCTGCAAAAAGGTTTCTCAAGATGGAATCCTTATTGGTTAACGGAATTATTTAATAACACCCGCATCTGGCATCAAAGCAGACTAGTTGCTATTGCTATAATAGTACCAAGGGTTTAATGACCTTCAACCATTTGGATTATTTTGCATATTGGTCTGTGGATGTGTTGTAGATAAAGACCCTGGAAAATGGCTAGTAGTTTATGGTTCATAGACTATAAACTGTGAATAATCACAATGTATATAAAGATTCATTTCAAGTCACAGGGTACAAATATATCCAGGTAGAGTAGCAGCCATTCAAAATGGCCTTCCCAGTTGAATGGCAACCCACTTCCCTGCAGCTCCCAGCAAAAGCACCTCCAACTTCCAGCCACTGGCCTTCTCCTGGGCGTGCATTTTTTTTTTACTCTAACTCCACCCTTTCACTTAATTACAGTCCCTAACCTGGAGATAACGTTTCTCTTTTGATCTTAATACCCATAATTAATATTTTAGTACACAGATTGATGTTTTAAAAAGGAATTGTAGAGGACTAGCCAAGGACCAGCCAAGGGGCCATCAAAGAAGTGGGGACATTTTGAATGGCTACTACTGTAGCACCTTCTGGCCCTATTAGAGTGTATCATGGCTTGAAGCCATTTTTTAGATATGACTGATTTCCTCCCGTGGGTGTTTCTTTTTAATAACATGGGGAAATTTGAGAGTCCGCTGCCATTTTAAGTGAATTATCTCCTTCGTTGATCACCCACAACACCGATAATAATCATGTGCACTGCTCTAGAATGCGCAAGTGTGTAGGTGAGCTTGAAGGCATTTGTTTTAATTGTCGAGCCAAAATGATTAAGTGGAAATTTTATGTGGTTGGACTTAGCTTTGGTAAGATGGATGGCTTGCATTTCTATCTTTTCTCCAACTCAAGTCCTTGGCACTATAATAGTTCACTGCTGCTTACATTAACACTAAACCTTAGGGCATGATTTCTGGGATCATCCCACCTTTAATTTCTCTCATGCGGAAACACAATTAAATGTACAAGTCGTGTTTTCCTCGTAGTCTGGAATGGGTCTGTTGCCCCAGTCTGAAATTACAACATTAATATGTAAATTTACATGTTAATTTTTCCCTCTTTTTTCATTCTTCGTTTTATCTGCTTTAGGTGGAAATTAAACGGTACAGAAGTCATTCCCAAAGCCGGGTCTCACTACAGCCTTTCTGGAGGCAACCTCAGAATCAGCCGTCTGAACAAAGACCAAGATGCCGGAACGTATCAGTGCCTAGCCTCCAACTCCTTCGGGACCATCGTCAGCCGAGAGGCCAGTCTAACCTTTGCATGTGAGTTAATGTTTTCTCACTTTTCTCTGAACAAACGTCTCTGGGATCTGTAGCTCTAAACCCAAAAATTGGGCAGAGGGGTGAAAAAAGAAAAAAAAAAAAACATAGTTGCAGCCGAGGATAACAATGTGCACTGTTCTTTAAGACATGATCAACATGCTGGGGGAGTTTCTCCCTAGGGTGTCATTAGCTCCCTCTGTGTGCTGACTGGAGTTTACAATAGTCAATGCAGCAGATCAAACATCAGCCAACAAAAAAGATGTGAAAGCAAAAAGCGAGTTACAGTAATTAAAAGAACTGCCACCGGTGATACTGGCTGCCACTAAAGAGCTTTTATTTACTTTTTTAACTGAATCCGCAGTTTCCTTTGGCTTCATATGTTTTTTTTTTGTTTTTTGTTTTTGTTTTTTTTCCAGAATTTCTTTTGTGAGAGTTTAGAAAAAAGACCTTAAGGCAGAGAAAACTATAAGACCTAAATGCAACATGTATCAAAAGTGGCGATAAGGCATGAACTGGGATTCTGATGGTGTGTTAGCAAGGGGCTCTGTTAATCAAACAGCTACAGGCAGACCTCAGAGAACAGTTTGCTGGGCAGCAGCCACTCTGTGCCTGAATTAACAACTATCCTCCAATAAGCATGTTGCCAAGGGAACAATGAGTTCAAACAGCAGACCTGAGTTCAGATGCCTTCTCTGTTCTGGGGAATCTCTCTCTTTCATAGCTGTCTGTGAGGTGGCCTGCTAGTCAGCTAACACATTTTCACCTACTCGGATGTACTTTACCACAGTCACTTTCATTTCTAATGTGAAAGCATGAAGGAGAAAAGCCGAGGAAATGTCATTTATATAGATTTTTCTACATATTTAAGCTGCTGAAAAGTTACAGTCCCTTCAGCTAGCTGTTTGGATCAGCAGGTTGGGTAGAGGGAGAGATACAGCAGTACACTAGGAGTCATCAACACTTCTAAATGAATGCAAGTGTTACTCCAATATTGCACAGGGCAGTCCTCCTGATGATACCATTATTGATGATAAGTTATGCTGTTCACATGCTTTGTATGCACAAATGAGGATTCACGTATCTCAGCATGTTGAATGATTAAGGTGGCTCTGACTGGAGCCCAAATCTACTTTCATATTCATGCAGCTAATAATTATTTCACCATTTGGGGACACTCGTAACACTGAATGCAGTAATAACCTTCCAGTTTGTGAAGATAAGTTGATGATTAGGTGTAAAAAAAAAAAGAAAGAAAGAAATGGACATAGCCTATTCTGTCCTAATATAATGGTGCTTTAATATGCTTGTAGTATTTTTACACCATAATCCCCTCATGTCTATTGACTAAAAGTCAAGTAACACCCAAACTTTATTGACATGATATATATTTCACAAAATTTGATTATTTTATGCTTATACTGTGTTTTCAAAAAGTTTTAAAATGCTTGAAAAATGAGATGCAGTATTGTTCCTGGTGAGAAACAAAATTCATTTTTTTTGTTTGCATCAGTAAATATCCCAAAGATCAACCTATTATTAAATAATGAAAAATGTTTTTCTTTGGATTATAAGTTTTTATGTGCCATAATTAAGAATGAAGAACTCAAGCAATTTTAATGTAGAGCTGCATCAACCAAAAATATTTGCTTTGATGCTTTTTTGATATTGCAGTAATAAAAGGGTAAATAAAAATGAATTAAATTTAGGAACACCTATTTTGATGCTTAAATAAGGTGATAATTGTAAAGAAATTCTGTTAAATTTTTCTGTTTTATGTTTTGACCTTTTGAAAAAAATACAAAAAAAAACACCCATATCCGAACTGGCACGCCAAATGTGATAATTTTTTTCTATCCCCTTTGACAATAAATAGAATATGACACAAATACTTTTTGTTACTGTACAAGGAAAAACTATTGCAGTGTTCTAGAAATGACTTGTTTCAAATATGCTTCCTTTGTTGCATTGTCAGTCAGTCTGCCTACTGGATGGAAATGTCTTAATACCTGCACATTGGGGAACAGCCTTCACTGAAAAACTACCTCTAAGGTTAAAAAAAGTTGAGAAAATGGGACAATATTAGGATAGTTTTGAACTATATTGTCACTATATCTTCTTTACTCTTATCCGTCATTCATTCAAGTTAATTTACTGACCCACACTGTTTGGTGGGTGGGACGTAAAGCCTGTCTATGGATTAGAATTCTTGCAAATATAAAATACAGGCTATACGAAAATACAATGGTTTTGAATTTTGAGAAAAGTTTAGCAACTTAACTTTGATGGCAGTTGGATCAATTTAACTGATCTAAATGCATTAAAAACAGCAGTATTTATTTACACAATCAGCATCCTCAAACTCATTGATGGATGGTTTGACTGATCCTGGGGATTTTAACAGAGAGCCCCAGGCTGTGCATTCCTGGAACATCAGCGTCAATAACTCCCCACTGTATGTGATCATTATTGGTTGGGTGAATTGATGACATTCCCAGCAAATGACTGATAACTGCTCAGATTAGATTCTGAGGTTTAGCATTTGGAGACAAGGCCACCAATCTGTCTCGGGCCATTTGTTTGGCCCCCTGGAGCTGTAGAAAGTCAATCCATGATCCGAGTCTGCTGGTGGATTTCCACTGTGATGGGCTGACAGTTCCATCAATTGTTGGGCTCTGACCTTACCAGTCTACAGTTGCTGTCACAGAGTCGGCGGGGGCTACGCACTGTGTGTATGACTGGGTGTCATCTATCTTCTTTATTACTCATGGAATAGCTTAATTAACTCAAGACCATGATTGAATGGTGAGGACCCAAGTGAATAATTTAAAGGGCAACTGGTTTACTATAGTGTAATGTAATTATTTGTAGATGTTTAAAGGAATACCAGAAGACAAATCCCTGTAAAATCCATTAGCTGCTTTTGAACAATCAGAGCTTTACATTACTCCAGTTGTTTTTGTGATGGAGGTATGCTCAGCGTGAACCAGTGGTGTAGCCAGAAAATATTTTTACACTATAAAAATGAGAATTCTGTCATTGTTTGTCCTAAGTAAGATATTTTAAACTACGCCACAAATAATTTTAACTTTTCATTAGATTTTGAGGGAAGCTGGGAAACCCCATGTGTGCATCGTCTGAACGAGTTTTAACTATTCCAAACTGACCAGTCCCTGATACATATATATTTTCTTGCAACTGAGTACTTTGCAGTGTTTAGAATATAACAGATCATGCCAAAAATAATATGATAAATTTGTTTGTAGTTTTTTTTATTTTATTTTAAAGGCATTATCAATTTAATTAGATGAATACTGAGACCTCAGTAGTTCAGCAAAGCTGTATTTCTAACCCTGCAGCCTATTTTCCTCAATTTGGCCTGTCCATGTTAAATGCTTCTGACCTAGCAAACAAAAGAAGTGCTTTTTTTTTGATGGATTTTGTGGATGCTAACAAGCAACCGGCATCCAGCTCAACTCAGACACCAATGGCAACTTCAGGTGAAAAAAGTAAAAAATAAAAAAAGAATAATAAAAAAAACTTGTTTAGTAGTATGGCGTGAGCTAAGAGAATGAGCAGAATGGTACAAGTTCTGTGTTTTGGCCATAGGTGGCAGTGTCATTATAAAACTCTGTAATGCATCTTTAAGAATCCCAAGAATCCTCAACATAAATGGGCCTAATTTTTTTGTGAAAAGCATCAGTATAGAGTTATATATCTAAGAAAGCCCATTGTTTTTACTGAGTTATGGTTTGATGTAAGCATAAAACTACATGGCATGAAATATGATTCTTCCTACACAGAAACATGAACAAAATATATATATATATATATATTTAAAGTTCCTGTGCTTTAACTCTTCCGTGAAATTCACACCTTTAACACTCACACAAGAAGTGAGGTTTCAGCTCCAGTCCAACCCCTCCATGGTAGAGATCAAAATCTTTCCGTGGTAATGAGAGCTCTAAGTAAAATTGAAGTGTGATTTTGACATTAGACTGAGCCTACTCACACCTCTAATAAGCCAAGCAGCAACTGGAGCTGTGCGAGTCAAAATCTAAGTCTGATAAAGCATCTAATATGCAGTTCTGCNAATCTGTATTCTGATCCTAATCTAGTGTCTTTTAAAGTAATATAGGTGTTAAACCATCAGTCAGGATGTGTTTATCACAAAGTGGAAACATTTGATGAAGGGATTTAAGGCTGCATTCTGTAAAACATTCTGTACTTCTGAATTTAATTTCTTTAAAATAATATGAAATATGGCACACTGGCAAATTGGAAATATTTATCCTTTATTTACATGATTTGCTGCTTGATTGTTTTGATTGTTAATTGAATATTGGAAACAATATAACAAAGTAGAAATGTTAGACATTTGTTGACAAAAAACAGGTCAGTCGAACTAAGCAAATTTATTTTTGTATGCTCTTTAGAGATGCACCAATTAGAGATTTTCTGATTTCTGGTATCTAGTTTTTCTATTGCTGTTGTTTTGAATGGAGCTGTTAGTTATTTTTTTAATGTATATTACTTGTTAGTTAACAACTGTGTTATCTAAAGAGTGTAGATCCTTACCTTATCTCTCAGGCCCAAATCTACTAAGATCACAAACAAGGAATGCCTGAAAACATTTATGTAAATTAGTGGTTAGACATGCTCTAGTGAGATTGCTTAAAATAAATAAGGTTTAGCAAAAAATATTGAATGTCAATGTTAAAATCTGAAAAACCCATTTTGTCAGCACCAAATATTGAAAACCAGGATAAGGCTATGATAATTTATAGAAGGCAAGTACTTCATACAGAGCCTGAATAGGAACGTAAGGAAAGGATTCAGGGGGAAAGAAAAATCTATTTCAAGCACAAGATATGAGTGCACACTCTTGGGTACAATTTGGATATTTTATTGTCTTGCTTTTGTTTTTGTTTTTTTCTTTTCACTTAAAATTACCTTTAGATTGTATTTATATTCACTTTTTTTTATATATAAATTTAAGTAAA